ATCTCGATGTCGATTACGGGGCTCGTGGCACGCACGTTTTGTTTGGTACTGCGGGCGTTTAATTGAATCTCTCGCGGTGAATTTGTGATAATTGATCTTCTCGAGGCAAGAATATATTTTGTGAATTCGTGTTTCGCGACGCTGTCGGTTCGCCGAATGTTCTGCCTTCGATTTGGTCCCGGTAAGTAGACTGTGCGCGTATTAAACGTGGTCTTTTTGTCCGAGGGATAAAACTTTCCTCTCGAGGAATAACCGAACGTTATTTTGATATATTATTTATATATCAGGTGCGATTTTTATATCTCGATGTCGATTACGGGGCTCGTGGCACGGTCGTTTTGTTTGGTACTGCGGGCGTTTAATTGAATCTCTCGCGATGAATTTCTGTTTATAATTTATCTTGGGGCAAGAATATTTAGTGAATTCGTGTTTCGCGATCGAGCGAAATGCTGTCGGTTCGCCGAATGTTCTGCCCTCAATTAGTCCCGATAAGTGCACTGACAAAAAATGTTTTTAATCTAAGTAAATGGGTTTACTTAAAATTATTTTTTGTTACTGAAGTAAATATTTATTCCATTTAAGTAAAAATATCAAATTTCAAGTAAAGCTATGTATTATATTAAATAAGTTAATTTAAATCATTACATTTTCTACATTCAAATAAAGATTTCATGAGATATAGAATGCTATTATTAAATAAAATAATTGTTCTCGTTAAATTAGAAATCCAATTTTCTTCGCGGTGAAAATTAGATCTTAGTAAACATTTTATAGAATTAAAATAAAACTTTTTACATTAAAAATTATCTATTCTTTGATATTGGATAAATACTTAAATTAAAACAGTGCATGTTTTAATTTGATTATTAATTTTTAAACTTAAGTTAATAAGCTATTAGGAGCCACTTAATGAATAATTTTCTTGAGTAAAGTAATATTTTTTTGGATTAAGACATTTTTTATCAGTGTATTTTCTATACACGTTTTTTAAACGTGGTCCTTTTCTCTGAAGAATAAAACTTTCTTCTCGAGGAATAGCCGAACGTTAATTTTTATACAGGGTGTTGAAAAAAAGGGTTACATATTTTGATAAGAGGTAGTATTGGTCAAAACAAGAAGAAAAGGTTTAAACATGGGTCCTAAGACTAATATCTTCAGAGATATTTTATCTCTTTATCTTATCTATATTAAGCTAGTTTGTTATTTGAGCTCTTTGTCATTTTCTTATTAGTCGTGTCATCTTTAGAATGTAATGAACAAAGGAGTAGGGAAGAATGGGGTACAATGGGGATATCTTTTTTCTAGGTGCTTTAAAAACAAGAAATAAAGAGAGATTCTTGTGAGATCTGACTTGTGGTGTCTATTGCGAACCAAACGTAAATATCAGGAGAGATAAATGAAGTTATGGTGCGTGACTTGAAAGAGTGCGTGATTCTCTAAGACGTTCATTATATTCTAAAGATGACACGACTAATAAGAAAATGACAAAGAGCTCAAATAACAAAATAGCTTGTATCTCTGAAGATATTAGTCTTAGGACCCATGTTAATTAGACCTTTTCTTCTCGTTTTGACCAATACTACCTCTTATCAAAATATGTAACCCTTTTTTTCAACACCCTGTATATTCTTTATATATTAAGTGCGATTCTTATATTGACTGAGTGTACTCGTTTTGTTTAGTACAATACTACGGGCGTTTAATCGAATCTCCCGCGATGAATTTCTGTTCATAATTAATCTACTCGAGACAAGACGAATTCGTTTGAAATCCGAAACAATCGTGTTTCGTGATCGAGCGAAATGCTATCAGCTAGCCGAATATTCTGCCTTCAATTAATCTCGGTAAATATACTGTGGCCTTTCTCCGAGGAATAAAGCTCACTTTCGTTTCGAAGACCAACCGAATAATTATTTATATATCGAGTGCGACTGGCGCGTACTCGATATCTATTATCGGGATTTATGGCACGATTGTTTCATTTATTATATAGTACTGCGCGAGTTTAATTGAATCTCCCGCGATTTTTATTTATAATCAGCCTGCATTCTGTAGAGATTTTTGCTCTACAAGCTCTCTAGCACTTACGACTCTCTCTTTCCTCGCTCTTTGCTCTTTCTTTCTTGCCCGACACCGCTACATACCGGCTTACGAAGGGCACTTTTACGGAGTATAGCCCTTGCAATCTTCTTGAGACAAGTTTCAATTTTCGTGAGAATTTGTTAGGAATCTGAAACAATCTTGTGATCGAGCCAAAACGCTAGGCGGTGTGCTAGCAGTTCGCCGGCAGATTCAAACGGAGTACCACGGCGGATTGACGTGAATTGTGTCCGCATTAACCCTCCCATTGTTTCACGTATTGTGCGCGAGACACTGCCTGTCGGACGCCTGTGGCTCGTACGGGTTCTATTCCTGAGACGTGACTTGGGATACGTGAGACACACGTGCATCGGGTGTGACGCAGTGTCTTGTTTTTTTTCTTTTCGGAACCTAAGACATTTAAAATTTCAAAGACTTGAAAAAAGATTAGCGCTACAAAATCAATACTTATTTTAACAGAGTTCATTTTTTTAAGCGTCTAATCTTACAAAAACGACCGGGTAGCGAAAGGATATGATGATTTAATCTGGCGGTAGATTGCCAGAAATCGAGAATCTGCAGTTATATCTTGTTAGCAGATTCTTTTTTATTTCCGGCATTCTGCCGGTACAAAATTTATCGCGGACCTTTTGCCAAATCTGCTCTTTTTCTTTAACAGTTTGATTATCTAGGTTCGTTTCAAATATTTTCGAACGCACTTTATGCATCACCCAGCGCTTTTTACAAATCACAATATAAATTTCTTTAAAATCGTAATTTAAAAACACATTCAAATAACGCACGTGTAATGCTAGCAACGCCGTGAGGCGAAGCACATTTCATTCGCGGTTGAAGCAAGAGTCAGCCTGGGCTTTGCCGGTCCGCGATAAACGGAAAGAGAGATGCGCCGCAGGATTAAATGCGTAATTGATCTGCGGGCAAGAACCGCAAGCTCGAGATACAATTTTATCGATGCTGGAAGTGTTCCTGGCCCACCCCAGCGAGGACGACCCCATGAAGGACGGCGTCAGCATAAAGCGTATGGGAAATTGTGGGAATGACGGGGGGGACAGGTCGGTCGCCTCGGGGAATTGGTTCGCAATATCGCAGGACTTAGAGAAGTATCATCGAAGGATAGTTTACATCGGCTAGTGCCGTGTCGCGATTAACTTCGCTCTACTCGACGGCGATTGCTTTTTCGGGCACGAGCGAAACGTGAGAGTGACTTGTTAGGCGCACGGATTGCGCGTGGGAACATTTCGAGCCACGAAGTGCGCCGTGTCTGCTCTCGAAACGATTATTACTTAAAGTCGAGCGCGAGACTTGAATTAATTACGTCTCTCTCGGCGCGTCATTATGACAATTATAATCTGAATTAACACGATGCAATCGCTACACGGAGCCCCCCCAATATTCGCGTGGTTATTAAACTGGTCGCGGTTAGGAAAACTACGTTGATCTCGAACGTGAATTGTTCTGCTTATGTTACACGGGGAGAATCGTCTCTTAAAATTTACCCTGAAAATTATGCAATCGTGGGACAACATGGTACTTTGAAGAACTTTGTGAGTTTTTTAAATTTTACCATATAGTTTACTAGTAATTATACTTGGTTTATATTTTATTAGTGAAATTATTACTAGTAAAATTACTAGTAATTATGAAGTACATAAAGTTCTCCGAAATGTCACGTTGTCCCACGATTAGATAATTCTCAGGGTAAAGTGTGAGAACAATTAAGTGTCCGTAGGCAAATGGCCCCAGTTTTTTTTCGCATTCGATTTTGGTCACAAAGTAGGCACCGAAGGTCTCGCCAGCTGATTACAGAAATGTCGGTCTCAGACTGTACCTAGGTCGGTCTCAGACTGTACCTATTTAACGTTCCAGAAAGATCGGGCTCCAAAGGTCCCATTCCATTTCAAACAAATAGTTGGTGTGTGTCCAGACGGCTTTGTCGCTTACGTACTGGAAATTTGTAGAGCCTGATATCTCTGGAACGTTAAACAGGTACACTCTGAGACCGACATATCTGCGATCACCTCGACGAGACCTTTCGTTTGGTACCTACCTTGACCAAAATCGAATGCGAAAGAAATGGGGTCGATCTTGCTCTCACTCTTTAAAGAGAAAATTCCCTCCGTGTGAAGACATTGAAGACATAGGTAGACGTTTTACGCGTTTGCTGCAGAACAATTCACGCACGAGTATCAACGTAGTTTTCTTAACCGCGACCATTTACCAGTAAAATGTATGGTAAAATTAAAAAAAAAACTCATAAATTTGTTCAAAATGTCACGTTGTCCCACGATTACATGATTTTCGGGGTAAATTTGAAAAGAAGTGTACGCTTTTAATTTTTGATCGTGTTTTTATGTTCCGCGGGTGAAGAGCGAAATTTGTAATTGGCGGAACGTGGAGATCGATTTATCGGTCATTTTTCTACGACGGCGTTGCGAAACGCTATGATGCAGATAACATTGTTGTTGGCGGGATAATAGTTGATAAACGATCAACATTTCGGTGATCACAAGATTTGTTAAGCACACAGGCTGCTTCGCCGCAACGCGTCGCCAAACAAACGTGGCGCCATGTCAAAACGGCGTCACCCGATTCTGATAATGCCGATTTACGATGCGCTTAACGGCCGCTAATTATCTGATTTATCGTGCAACGTTGCACTAATGCGATTAACATCGTAGCCGGGCTTCGCCTATTCCGCGGCGGTACCGCGATTTCAAATCTCTCGTCTGCACGATTATCGGCGATAATGCGAAATGGCGTCCGTAGCGTTGTACAGGTGCGACTCATAGCTGTACGTTTAACGCCGCCAGCTCGGCAATGCCGTTACGTAACGACACCTATAAGAATATTTACAAGATACCTATCTTAACACGCACACATTTTACGTTGTCAACGAACTGGATTTTTCCTCTCATCAAAGAGAGTTTACCGGCAGTTTTCGCGATATGGGAAAACGCATTGCAGAAACCGCGCAGTCTTTTTAACAGATTCCGGGATATGCAGGAGAAAGTCCCCCATTATGAGACAGGATCTTAATATGCGATAGCGAGGTTTCTGTTAAATTAATAGGCATCTTCGGTTGATTCCACCATGAATTTATTGCCCCTGGTGGCGAAATCTGTTCAGTGGAGCATATTGATTGTTAAATTGTGCAATCGTTGCGAAAACAGACTTGTGAATTGAATTTGGATGTTGAAAACCTGCTGTCTCATATTAAAAATCCATCTCATAATAGAGGACTTACCTCTGTTAATAACAGGACATTATTCTTTATTTGACATTGACACAAATCGGTGATTATCGAACGTTCGAAGGATGCGCGAGAAGAGATTATATTTGGGGCCTTTGTTACGGAAAAAATAAGACTTGGTGAATAATTGGGGAACTAGATAATGTAAGACAATATTTTTTATTTTCATTCGCAACACTGTTTCGTTGAAATATACGTTGCGTTAAGGAAACTTTAAATTTGCCGCTACACACATCCTAGTACAAATATTTGCACGGTATCCTCTTTATTTGCATGTGCGCAAATAAATTTATAATACTTTCAGGAAATATTCCCAGGAAACTAAAAATTCTCAGTTTCATAATACATGCAAATGCATAAATAAATCCGTAAATATTAATTCAGGCAACAGCGTTGTCAAACAGAGAGGCACATATCGAAAAGGTTAATCTCGCGATCAGCCTTTAATCCGACGTTCCGTCCCGATTACATCGATAATTTTCCAACTACTTGTTCCTGGGTGTTTCTACGCCAATATTACATTTAACCTTGCACACCGCAAGTACACACGTAAGCACGCCATTATCGTTGTACATTGTGTATATTTGCATGTGCGTCGACTACGATTTCGCACATCCGCGCTCTGTTGATTCAAAATATTGTCGCTATGTGTTCAACAATCTTCATTTAACGGTTCGAATTATTAAGATTGCACTGCATTACGCACAATGATTTATCAGCATTTGCCCGGCAAATATTCTTTTAATGTTTAAAGACCCCTCCTCGCGCCCCGGCGGCCGCCCCGGCGTGGTGAGTAATTACAATGTAAATGTGTAAATATGTACAAAACATGTATCTACAGAGAGCGTGGAAATGCGAAACAATTACACAGTTTCCGAAAATATATACCGCGCAAATAATATCGCGCGTGTTTGCACATCGCGTACATTCAGATTTAAATTACGGGTCAGGCAAAAGACGATTGCAGCTGCAAAAACGATGCCTCGATCCTTGATATAGCCGAACATTTTACGTATCCGACGACTACTTACTTAAACAATGCTTTTCATCTTCCTTCTGACGTTTAAGATTACTATATTAATTACCGCGCGACATGTTACATAAGCGGAAACACCATTAGTCGTATGAATGTTTCATTAGCACAAGTTTGATAGGTTATTAATTAATAACATTAACGCTCGTACGTGGCGTGGTTCTTCGGTGTATCGCGCGGCTTCGGAAGGGAACAGCTTTCCCGAAAATTAACTCGTATCTTTTTTTTTTTGTCATTAGATCTTCAAACAGCCATAAGACGTCAACTGCCCATCACACCTCACGCCATGGATCCCCATAAACCTTGGCAAACGCGTCAAGATCCCACAAAGGCCGCCCGACAGCATCCCGAGGCCGCCGCTCACCGCAGGGGTTGCGTGTCTTTTTTCGAGTGCGCCCATGCAGGGGGATGCAGTTGAGAAGCTCGTATAGGGTGAGTAGCCGAACATTTACACGGTGCCCAGCTGTGGCCCCACGGTGCCCCGGTGGTGTTGTACGCCACGATTCTCTTAGAGGGGGCACGGCTTTGGGCGCGTGCTTACCCCACGCTGCGCGCTTGCCACCTGTTCCTCGACGGAGCCGCAGCGGGTGGCGAAGGGGGTGGATTTGCTCCGTCGTTCCTATTATCTAATACACACCCGCCGATAGACCGATACGACAATAGATACGATCTGATAAATCGACCTGCTTGATGCCGGACGAGGGTGACCGGCAATCAGACGTGTCACTTCCGGCCCTGAAATCGATGTCAATATGCGGCGAGTTTATATAAGATTGATAGATACGTAATGCTTGAAACGATGGATTAATTGCGGTGTATTATTGATTTCCAAAGAGCGGACAAAGAGTGATGGGATCAAAATGTAGATATAATGAATTAACCCTTGAAGACGCGATAGGAAGGAATTTTTTTAATATTAAAAAAATATTATATCCTAGGAGAACAAATACGCTAGATTATTCGTGTTTTCGTTTTTCGCTATCCTGATTATAATTGCAATTCTAATTTCAAAATTCAAATAGGAAAATTACCAGTGTAAATAATGCATTCCAGTTTCCCGTCACAGAGGAAATCGAGAGGGAATTAATAATAAATTTAAAAAATTCAGATACGCGCTTAATGACGGAGACCAATGAGGGTTTAATATGTCATTTATCGTTTCGTTAACTTTTCGACATATTTTCAGGGTTAAAATGATCCTCAATTCGAGTATTTTATTTTATGCATGTAATCCTGGAGAGAGAGAGAGAGAAAGAGAGAGAGATACATTGCGTTATCAAGATTTTTATTTTATTCAGCGTTTCAAAAGTGAAATGCACTTGACAAAATATAAACATAATTAATATGATGTATAAAGCCGGGCTTAACTTTTTGAATAAAAGGTACAAGCGCGTATTTCATTTATGAATTAAATGTAATTGCAGGACCTTATGTACTATAATATTATACATATGTATAACTAAAATAAAATCAAAATTAAATCTTGATATAAAAATGAAGAAAAAAGGAAATAGTCCAAGATATGACAGAATTAAAATTTAGACGATGGAAACTTTTTGCTTAACTAAAACAAAGTATATGCAAAATTAAAGAGTCTATCAGACCGTTCGGCCACGGTCAACTCTCCAGAATTACACATGTGCGCGAAAAGAAAAAAATTATCCGACACCTCTTACGATGCGTCAATCATAATTTTAGCGTCGCTTCGATTACACTCGCGCCGATCGTCTCGTCTTCGAGCGACAGGGTTCGTTCCAAAGTCACGCTCCGCGCCATCTTCCGCGACGTCGCGGACATTTTATTCCCGTTCGGTGGAATTTTTCGTTACGGCGACACTTCGATCAATATTTGCGCAGCCGGGACTGGGGACCACGTCACTCGACCTTCCGCGACCATATGTGAACGCGGCCACGTACGCCACAGCGGGCTGACGCGTGCTCGCGCGTACCATGTTGGAGACACTCAAGACCGGAGTCTGGCCTATGTGGCACATGATTTGTTCTGCTGCGATTACCCCTTCTGCACTCGATGAGAAAAATAGAGAGAAGCGACGAGCAATTAATTAGAATTCTTACGCTTTTAAATTCTGAATACGACTCTATTATTATGCAAGTATTTATTAACGAATTATTTTTAAATTAATCCCTCGTAAGGTCCAAAATTGACGGTTTACTGGCATTTTCATTAGCATTTTTAGCGAAAGTTTTCTGCGATAACGCTGAACTTCGGAATTTAACCCTTTAACTCATTAGGCAACGTAACAAATGAATTAGAGCGGATGATTGACCGCGTTCATGATT